TGACTGCTTAATGTAAAAATTTCACTATTTACTATTGTATACTTTGAATTGTAAAGGAATTTTATTTTATGTGTATTATTTTTTGATTGGCTGGGTTTTATAGTGTAAAATTACATGATTGCTTTTCATGTAAAATTCTATTTAGCATTGCATATAACTTATTTGGATGCAAAAAATTCAGTAGTGTCGCAGTATTTAATGTTGGTGGTACCATATGTTTATAATCATCCCACATCACAAAGAAATTTAATACTCGATGAGTCAAAATTAAGATAAAAATAACTTTTTATAACCTATAATACAACTATGGTACCAACTTCTATGCACGCACTGCAAATAAAAAATTACGGACCACCATCCGTACTCGAGTACGTCGAGACAAAAACACCAGAAGCACCCCAAAAAACACAAGTTTTGGTAAAAATTGCCGCAGCTGGTGTTAATCCGTCTGAATACATAATCAGACGAGGGGACGTATCAGCGGTTAAAAAGAAGACGTTTCCAGCGTTTATTGGGGCCGATTATTCGGTATGTGATTTTGCTTCTTGACTGCTTTAATGAGAAAGTAATTTAGATGATTGATTCATTTAGGGAACTATTGTTGCAAAAGGAGATGACGTTACCGATTTTGATGTAGGTGATGAGGTTTTTGGGTCAATTGCCGATGTATTTTCAGGAAGAGGAACCTATGCAGAGTATGTTTTGATTGAAACAAAACAAGATGCTATAGCAAAAAAGCCTTCAAATATTAGTCACGAAGAAGCAGCCGGCGTTGGTATGGCATTTATAACGGCCTACAGCGCACTAATACTCGGAACAAACCTAAAAATTGATGACGCAGCAAAATCATTAAATCAAAAGATCCTAATAATCGGAGCATCAGGCGGCATCGGCCACTACGCAATACAAATAGGAAAAAACATTTGCCACGCACACGTAACAGCAATAAACTCGTCAAAAAATACCGACTTCGTAAAAAGTCTCGGAGCAGATCGCGTAATAGATTACAACACCACCCCAGACTTTACACAAGCCCTTCTCCAGGAAGAAGGGCAGGAATCATTTGACGTGGTGCTTGATTGTGTAGGCGGAGATGAATACTACCAGAAATCAATTCTATTATTGAAAAAATCGGGGATCTTTTCGACAGTTGTTGGCCCGCATATTTCTGATGGTTATATGGGGTACGGGACAATATTGTCAATTATTGGACATATTTTATATAACAAGTTGCTTGGAAAAAGATCGTACCATATGGCTTTAGCGAATTCGCATTCCAAGTTTCCGGAGTTTGTTGGGTATTTTGAGAGAAAAGAGATTGTTACAAAAATTGGTTCGAAATTTGAGTTGAAGGATGGCGCAAAAGCTCACGAATTGAGTGAATCGCGTCGCGCTGTTGGAAAGATTATTTTGGCTGTTTAAAGGGATTTTTTTATTTTTTAATGTTATCAAGTACATGTATTTATCAACAAATATATTTAGTAAATATTGGTTGATCGTGAATTCCCACGTTCACAAAATTTTATTCCCAGACTGAAAATTATGATACATTAATGACATTAATGACGAACATTAATGACGATTCAACTTTTAAAAACAAAATTATATCATACTTTGCTAAACACGCGGGCACAACCGAATGACTGATAAATGACTAAATTGACGATTTAGTATGATTAGAAATATTTTTATGACTAATCCTTTAAAGAATAACTTTCCCACCAAAATTGATATAAATAAGGAAGGAGGGAAGACTTCCACTTCAATAAATTCAATCTGTCGAAGAATTACAAATAACAAACTCTAATCTATCAAAAAATAAACAAATTCTTTATTTCACAAATTAACATCAAATAAACAATAATATTAAAAACATGACTGAACGCATCAAAGGAAATGCTGAATATGTTGCTGGAGCCACCAAAGAAACACTTGGTTCCATGGTTGGCAGTGAACGAATGAAAGCTGAAGGTGCTGCCGCTAAGACTGAAGGCGCTTCTCGTGTTGATGCTGCAAAAACGGGTAAACGCACTGAAGGTAAAGCTGAGGAACTAAAAGGCAACGTCAAAGAGACCACTGGTAATGTGAGTAGTAAAAAATAAGGACTTGATATTTCGCGTGTTCTTATTTACTTATCTATACAATTTATAAAAGCTTACGGGTAGCAACCAAATGCAAGCTGAAGGGCAAACTGATCAGTCCACAGGCCAAGGCAAGTATATGTTTTATATGTTTTTTTTTTATTATTTACTTTTTATCTAATTTCTATTTAATAACTTACAGCAAAACAAAGTCTTAACCAATAACCGATAATATAACTGGGAGATTGTTTTAATCTCTTAAATTATTATGTTTATATAAAATACAACAATAATATAATGTAATAGTCAATCTTACTATCATTTTTTCCTGAAATAAATATCTCGCTTAATACGACGCATTTTTAATAAAAAGAAAAGTTGTTACTTTTTATGTGTAAATCATATCATTTCCATCAACTTCACATTCATCATACGATTAATGCAAACGACTGTTTTCTCAGCTCAAGATATTACAGAAGAGAAAAAAGTACAATACGCCGTCGTTACCTTCTTGACTGATGCAGCTTTACATTAGTATCTCAACAAATGCAAGGCAAAAGATAATGACAAATTTATATTGTAAAGTTTTAAAATATAATTTATAATAATATTAAGTAATATAATATTTTTACTCGGGAAAATTTGAAAATTTAACCTATTGTAAAAACGAGCTCTATCGTATCAAATAAGTTTCAAAAAAGTTTTAAGCGCTTTTAATCTTACGTCCGGGATAAGTGAATAATTTTGACGTTAGTAATATCGAGGACATGTATCTACAACATTTGTACAAAAATCTCGATCTAGTCATCACGTCCGTAGATTTATTCCCAATGACGCAAGGATGACACAACGAAAAAGTCCTATATGCGTTAATATCTAAGAGCACCGATATTATAATATTGATGATACGAGAAATGTAAATGATAAATTTCCTAAACTTGAGATTTGTTTTGAGCTAATTTGTCTAGATAAATTCTAAATTCATTGTCTCTGGTAAAGCAAAGAAAAATGTCGTAGACAATTTTCTCGTCAAGTTTTTGATGCTTTCTTTCATATTCTTCGAAAATTTACTAAAATTTTCCATCACAATTTCCTCTTAACTTTAACCCTAACTTAATATGTACAAAATAGTGAGTTTCCCGACAGGTAATTTTGCCATCAGGGGTTAAGGTTAAGGTTAGAAGTGGGAGAATTGTTACATGTAAAATTGTCTTCCCGACATTTTTTAATAACGCACCAAGCTAGATTTTAACGTCTGTTTTCCGTATTTTCGCATTTTTTGTGAGATTTGTTTTGCCGGGTTGATCATGTTCTTTTACGATTCACATTTCGTTGGAACACAATTACCGTTACATGTTTGTAAATAGATACAGTTCATGATATTCTGTCTTTAACTGTTCGAATTTTACATGTATTTTAGACATAGTGACACTACTTTTGGCAGCTTCAGCATGTTTCATGATTCAAATGATAAGATACAGTCAGATAGCATTCAGTATCCGAATGGAAATTGATCTGGTTTTTACCAGCAACGTACGGTCAAATCTGACGCTCGGCTGGAGGTTTTCCTTCGCTATATGGAGGACTCTAATGAAACACAAAAGAATATCCGTCCTTTTTTTTGCCATGACTATGGTCTAGAGATTCCATGGTATCCTAGCCATGCATTTATGAGAGGCAACATTATAATTGAAAGGAATATTAAAGAAAAAATTTCAAGGCACAAGTGTATTTTCGTTTTGTTGGTCTTTCGATTTGATTTGTTGATCGGATATCTGGCTGAGATCACATGACCAGACAAAGGCAAAAGATTTTGTAACATAAATTTTGGTCGTACAACGAACAATTCATTTTCAAGACAAAGACAATGGATAAAACTTTAATCGAGAATCGCACGTGATTTCTGTAAGAATGCTTTTTTGCTGGAACAATGTTCACGCATTCAGTTCGTTGCTCTGAGTATTCCTGTTGTTAAGTAGTTGAGAGACAACCATAAATTGCTGTCTAATTGAGAATGCAAACTTGTATCATACGATTATCTTAAAAGTTACCAAACAAGTAACGGTAATACAACAAAGCAACAATGTGTGCTCCCCCAGAAAAGGAGAAAAATATAAACGTTAAACAGAGGTAGCTAATCGCTATCTGTATTAAATTATGAATAACATCTACGCGAAAGGTTAACGTGATGACAGGAAAAAGTTTCTAGCTTAATCAAGAATTTGTTCCGTATGTTTCGTATGATCCGGCAATCCCAGTTCATTTGTTAGAACGTCATCCACATTATCCTCTAACACGCGAGCAATCCTGTCAATTTGCATCAAAAAAAAAGTTGATAGATAATCATTGAGCCTTTTTTTCGTACATGTAAAGACAAAGATGACGATGTTCTCTAAATTAAACATGATGGTGTGCACAAAAACGACAATGCCATGAAACCAATTAGGATGAGAAGGGGTAAACCCGTATGTGGGATTTCGTTGTGCAAACAGAGAAACGTACATGTATATTTTCTGCTCGTGTTGCAGTCTTCATATGGACTAGATTGCCATCGTTCACCGCGAGTACATATTTATTTCTACTTTTGTACATTAAAATAAGAATAAATAGTTACGTATTGATCAATGAGAATAATATAAAATAATTTCCCTTTCCTCCTTTAAAAATCACACCTTCAATTATCCATTGTTTGTTTGTTTCTTCTTCATTCATTGAAATTTATCTTTTGAACCAAAAAATCGAAACGAAATGTCCACAACAAAAAAGTCAAAAACCTCTTTTCCTTCGCTCAAGCTCAATAATACCATTACTGCTAATAGTGACAACATTAATACCAATAACCGTCCTGTCACATACAGAGTAAGTGTACAGAGGGAGGGAGGGAGACCAAGTATTCGTAGAAGTTGGAAAATTAACCAAACTAAAAATTAATCAATGTTATATAATACAAATTAGCTTGTCAAAAGTTACAGCTCTATCGACTATAGCGACTTGAGTCACAAACAACTGTTTTACAAATTATCTGACGAGTATAGCCATGATAGTGCAAAACAGAATATTGCTCTACTCAACGCGTCTCCGACATATTATCGTGAAGTGATCAAGCCGGATGAAAGGCACGCGAAGATTTTTTGGTTCGATGCAGCATTAATGTATGCTCCAGGAATAAATATAGTCACGTCATCTCCATTACTTTCACCAGCAATGACATATGATAGCAGATCCAGTTTAAAATTATCACCACCACCAACACCCAGAACACCTCTAACACCCACGACCTCTAAAACAATTTGGAGCATTGAACCTGCAAACCTAAAATATTCTAAAATACTGGGA